TCCCTCTGCTGGCATTTTGTAACTTTTCAATTCTAGTAATCTCTGAAATACAAGTTAATACTACTGAAATGCTTAAAAAAGTAAAAGAATTTAAATTCTCAATAAGCTAAGCTTCAAGTATATTGTTCTTTCCTGTCAGTCTTCAGCCTTAAAGTGTATAGGCAGTTGGACGTATCGCTACTGGGATTTATGGGTGTGAGCTAGCACTGGTGGCTTTTCACAAGTTCCAAATAATGCAAGCTTTTGCAAAAGGAATGCAGTAACACTGTGATATAGCCATTCATATTTATTCCCCATGTTTTGTCTTCTGAATCAAGTGCTTTTTGGCTTGCAGGTGTCCTACTGTCAACAGCAGAATTGCTTTTATCAAAGAATATCGGTTATTTCAATTGAAGTAAGATGTTCTTATAACTTAATATTCTTCCAGGAAATAGTGAAGCAAACATGACTGTGAATATTGGTACCTCAGATGATGTGGGTGGGTGTTAGGGTGGGTGGTTTTTTAATTAAGGATCAAGCATGTTTACAGAGAGAATCTCTTTGTAGTACTCACCTGCTGTGCTTTGGTTTGCATAGTAGAGCAGGCTTTGAGCATGTGAACCTTTTGAGTGAAATTAAACTTGAAGGCGTGCTCTGGGAGTGCCCCTAATGCACTCCAGCCACAAACATACCACCAGTCGCTGCAACCAGACTAATGCTAGTCTGAAGTAAAAACCTCTGAAGCACATATGGCATGGTCCTCAGCACCAGCTGCTTTGCTCTGCAGAGGTTGTGCTATTTGTAGATGTGGACACAGGTACCAAGAAATGTGAATTTATTGAAATAGTCTTTAAAAAGTCTTTAAATTGTCGAACACAAACTGCACAATTATACAGACTCTGAAAACCTGGACAAATCCTACCTCTGGCTTCCTGCTCTCTCTGAAAGTATTTGTGCAAGCCTGTGAATGTGTTAGCCACAACCTCTGACTGTGTTATGAGATGGGAACTGGCTCTCTGCAGCGGCAAAACTTCAAATTCCACCCCCATCTCAACTGCAGATAGTATTCAGTTAAACTCTAGAACTGTCCACATTTAGCTGATAATTTTTTCAGAAGAAAGCTTTACCATCACTGCTTTGAGCACCAAGTTTTATTCACTGACTTTTGAAATTTGCTTTTATAGAGGGAAACCTGGTAGTGGCACCTTTTCTTTTTTCTTTTAATCCCCAGAACTATAATCTTCTCCCCTTGCTCCTCCTCACCTGCAGTTGCAGAAGAGCTGGTTCTTGTATGATTTATCAGAAAGCAGAGAGAGGAATCTCTGTGACCCTAAGCTCACTAACAGCAACATGCTTCTGCTCTGGAAAGGGCCCTGAAAGCTTCTCATCCTGCAATTTGTGGAAAAAGCTCTCCTGTAGATTTTTGTTCTCTTGATAAATGTCTTGCTATAATTACTGAGCTTAAGGGTATTGATTTTTTAAAATGTGAATGCAGAAAACATTAAGAAGCTCCATTAGCTGTGCTACTAGAATGAAACTTAAGACTTCACAGTGTGCTCTGCAGGATTATTTTGATGCCTTCTGTACAGACCTTCCCAAAGCATTTTCCACAGGTGACGGTGGAACTCATTGCACTGTACCTTTGTATACCTACTGAGGATGTGGATGTAATCCTGCAGCTACTTGCCAGGTAGCATAGTATCATCTTAATTTTATTGGTAAGAGTGACTTGTCTGAGGCCACAGAGGAAAAAAAAATAATATCTCAATCTCATCACAATTCTCAGCAGAGTACTCTCTGTCTGTGACCTTAAACCAACTGGAAAAAAATTGAATCAGTTGAAAACTGGTGTAGCTTGTCAGCTCTTATGCCTGCATTCCCTGTGCCTTTTGAGTTTACTCGATTGCTTTTTAGGGACATGGCTTTTAAATTTAATTAATGTGCTATTACTCTTTCCTCTATCTGACATGGAAAAGCTTGAATTAATTGAGTATTGACTAACTGAACTAGTCACAGCAAGGCATTGCTGTCATCCAACAGCATGCTCACTGGTGTGTGGAAGAGCTGAGGATGGATGAACTTGGGGTTTCACTGGGCTTCTGCATGCAGGCTGTAACCCTGTTATACCTGGGGGAAGTCACCTCCAGCAGCAAGCAAGAGACCTGAAAGTAGTCTTGGCTCTCTTGCTCATGTTGCAGAGGGAAGTTGCCCCATCAGTGTCACCTCTGCCTCCAGCACTCGCTGTGTACCACACACAGATGTTTTGTGTAGACGTATATATGCATATATCTACATATTGCATGCTTTTATAGGTGTGTGTATATATATTTATCTGTACCAGATCAGCCTGGGATGGAGTTAGCTTTCTTCACAGCAGACCCTGTGGCGCTGTACTTTGGATTTGTGGCTAAAACAGTGTTGACAACACACAGGTGTTTTGACTATCTGCTTGTACAGCCTTAAGGTTTTCTTTCTCCCACTCTGCCCCCCCAGCAACTAGGCCAGGCACAGGCAAGAAGCTGGGAGGGAACACAGATGGGACAGATGACCCAAAATGGCCAAAGAGATATTCCACGCCATGGAACATCATGCTCAACTACAAAAACTAAGGTAAAGAAAGAGGAGGCAGGGATTTGGTTTTGTCTTCCAAGGTGGCCATTTCTCAGAGACTGGCCATCCATCTGCTTGTGGGATCTGGTGATTGCCTTTGAATTGCTTGTGGGTTTTTTCTCTCTTTTCTTTACTTTTTAAACTGTCTACATTTCAACTCATAAGTTTTCTCACTTCTGCTCTTCCTATCTTTTCCCCGCCCTCACCACAGGGGTTTGGAGCAAGCAAGCAGCTGTGTGGGTGTGGCTGGGGTCAAGCCACCACAGTCCTTTTTGGCACCCAGTGTGGGACTTGAGGAGGAGGGTTGAACTAATGACGGATTTGATCAGAGTGTGCTAGACTGAATTTATAGCTGTGTGGCAGTTACTTGGCAGAGATTGCTAATGACTGCTTTCAGCCTTTGCTGTTTGCTGTATTGCTGTGTTTTGCCCAGGGGGACCTATAATAAAAGCAGCCCTGAGCCTGTCGTTTGGCCGCTGCAGAGCTGCCATCCTACCACTCCAGGGACCATCTTATGGAGGCCGTTGTCAATTGCACCTTCCTTCTCTTCTCCATGGGGGACAGATCTTCCCAGCTGTGCTGTAGTGGACCCCCAGCTTCCTGAGCATCTCTGTGTAATGGGAACACTCAAAGTGCTGAGTGCCATCAGCCTGGTTTTGAAGCTGGGCCAGTGCTGGTGAGGGTAACGACAGCATCCCCATGGTCACCCACTGCCCACCACCCACTACCACCACCTCAGACCCCCAACCCAGCAGTCCCGGTTCAGGCCTCACCAATGCCTCCAGGGAACCCCCAGAGGGAGCTGAGACCAAGGGATGTGCCCCAGGGCAGCAGATTCCTGGGTGGGAAGGGGTGTGGGAGGGTTTGGGCAGGTGCCTGCGGTAGTTTTTGTCCCCAACAGTGTGGGACTTCATGCCTGAAGAGGCATGGAGGCTTGCAGGGGTGGCAGAGCACCTGCAGGCCAGTTGTCTACACCAAAAAGAGACAGAAGCTCCTGGTGCTGTGCTGGGGCATGGTCTCCACCTACCAGGCCTTCCTCCAGCAGCCTCACAGGGGCAAGCCAGCCTCTGCATCCAAACACGTGCAAACTGACATGGCGGCTGAAGCGGAGACCTGGCTGTCGGCTACTTCTGAGGAGAAGCAGTGGAAGCAGAGGTCCACCCTGTTGGTGAGGGAGGAGGAAGAGGGAGCAGGGCAGCCCTGCGGAGCAACAGGAGGCAGGTGGGAGCCAGAAAATGTCTGTTGCCTCTTTCCCACCATGGTGTGAGGTATGGAAAGATTTCACCCATCAGCTGAGTGAGTGGCTTGCTGCCTGGCTGCTCCAGTGCTGGGACATGGGGGACAGTGGCCTGGATCTAGAGGGCTGGGGAGTGCAGAAACTGGAGTCGCTCATGAGGGACCATCCTACTGACAGGGAGATCAGGAGGGGGGCTGCCCTGCCACCCAAAGCCTCTGGAGGCAGCTCCTCTGGGGCATGAAGGAGAGGTATCCCTTCAAGGAGGATCTACCAGGTGAAGTGGACCACCACAGAGGAAGGAGGTCTACAGTGATGGCAGCTAGTGTGGGGCATGATGCTGGCCTATGCCTGGGCCCTGGCACTGAGGGGCTTGCTAGCCACCAAGGTGCCCACCATGGAGGGGCTGTCCTGGCTTCTCCACACCCAGGGAGCCTCTCTGCCACTGCCACACTGCCCCACCACCACCCACAGCTCCAGCTGTGAATAGAACAGAGAATATACAAAGAAATAAACCATAAATCTGTGTTTGCTGCTCCTGCTTGCCTCCTCCTACCCTCACAAGCTCCTTTGGAAGGTTATCTGTGTATATTTTGCATGTGCATATATCTACATATATGTAGATATACACACATATATTTGTTTTGTATATACATAAATGTTTATGTGTATAAATGCATACTTACATACTGATGCCTGCTAGCTGATGCCTGCAAGCAGTTGCTGCCTCCAAGTTGAGGCCTGTAACAATTAGCGATAAGAGAAGAATTCCATTATATCTTATGTGGTCATGTTGTGCCCAGTTGTGTATACCTGGAAGACTCAAAGTGGGGAATGTTAAGAAATTCTTTTTACCAAACAATGTTTAACTTTGTATTTAGTAAGGCTTGAGTGATTAAAGTGTACAGAGAAGATACCCTAACCTTGAGAGTAGATACATCCTTGCAGAATTGCTCAAACAAGGCAGATAAGAAAGAACAGCTTAGCTGGACAACAGAGTTGGGAAACATCCAAGGAGAAGAAACTGTCCTCAAAAGACTCGTGACCATAAAAAGGAAAAAGGAGTAGGGGGCTAACTCCCCAAATGACCCGTGATGACCACCCAAGACCCCCGTGCATGCATATTGTAGTTTTGCAATGCCAGCATTATGTAAATAGAGTAGATAGGTGGAAAGGTGGAGACTTCTTGGAGAAGGTATGAGTATTCATGTCTTTAAGGTATATAAAGGATGAATTTTTGGTTTAGTGTATGCACATTAGGTGGAGTGATTGCCCGTGCGTTCAGTGCTGCAATAAAGAATGCCTGCCTTCTCAAACTTTAAACTAAGCCTTAGAGGGTTTGAGAACAAATTTACGGTAACAATATGCCCATATATGTTTTGCATATTCATAGACATCCAGAGACATGTTTTGCCTATTCATAAACATGTATCTTGTATATATGAGTATATATTTAGGTACCTCTACCATATACATGTTTGTATGTCCGTAAGTCTGTATGTTTATGCACATATCATAGAATCACAGAATGGTTTGGGTTGGAAGGGACCTTAAAGATCATCTAGTTCCAACCCCCCCTCCCGTGGGCAGGGGCACCTTCCTCTAGATCGTATAGCCCTAGATGTCCATGTCCATGGTTCGTATGCACATGTAGATGTTTATGTACACATATAACACATTGCGATGTCTCTGTATACATGTTTTGTACGTACGCAGGCATGTATGTATATATGTTTTACATGGACACACATGCATCCATTCAGCAGAAATAGGTATTTCTGTATGCGCATCTCTGCGTTGTATGTAAGCTCGTCTTTTGCGTATGCATACCCATACCCACACCCGCACGCACACCCCCCAGCCGTCCACCCGCGCCCCTGCACCGCTCCCCCCCT